TTTTTTTAAAGGCTACTTGTTTTTCTGGAAATTAATGAAAATTATGGGAGAGAAACAGAGCGGGAACATACAAAGCTGATTTTAGTGACAGAAGGGGATGATTGTTATGCACAATGGCTACACTTTATGCTTCTACAAATTTAATATGCTCAGAAAACAAATAGCTCTTCCCGTTAATACATGATGGAGTGTGACGTATAATTCAAGCCATGTGCGAGGAAAAAACAAATGATGTGTGGGCTCAGACAGCTACAGTGACTTATGGCAATATGTTGCTGTGAGCCACTCTTTGACAACTTGAGAATACAAATGATAAACTGAGATAACTCAGAGGGAGCACACCTCTGAAGGCGTCTGCCTCTGTCCTCCTCTCTCCACAGGTATGCCTTCTTTTTCTTAGCTTTCTCTCTCTCTCTCTCTCTCGCTTGTTTCCATCTCTTCAATCCGACTTCCCAAAGGGAATAACCTCCCTGACACGCATCTCTTCCTCCACTGAGCGAGTTGCTATAACTTGCCCTCACCTCCACCGTACACTCACAGCTGTTACTTTTAATTTATCTGCTTTTGCTGTATGACAGATGGCACATAGCCATCCCAGTGTCTGCCGGTTCAATAAATCTAGCCCTACGTAGTGGAACATCTGCTATGCAAATTCACCTCGTTTTTCTGTCACTTTCGTCTGTCAGCTGCGAGATAGAGATTTAGTATTACTTCATTTAACATCTTCGCCTTCCTCGTCTCACTTCGCCTTCTTTCTTAACGGTCTGCTCTCTGCTGTTGTGACGTGCCCGTCATGTTATCTTTGTTCGGATCCATTCTGTTTTTCCCGTGATGCTTTTCACAGTGTCGAGGAGCAGATTCACATCAGCCAGGAAGGAGATACTTTGCAGTAGGTTTGCGCTATAAAACACCGCTTTAGTGGACAACACAGGCAGCTGTCTTAAATCATGTAGCTTTACCCTGGACAATTCTGAGAGCGGCAAAAAAAAAACCCCGCACAACTTCACTTCTTCTAGCAATCTTCACAGCAAAGCTGCACATTTTCATCCCACTGTGGGAATGCTCTTCTTCTCTCCGCCTCTCTTTATCTTGCGATCTGTTTCATCCCACTCAGCATTCACTCGCTTGGAGAAAAAATATGCTGTCAGTCCACAACGTCAAACACATGTCTCTCGGCTCATTCCAGGCACTTTCAAATACAGCTTCCTGCAGTTGGGAGCGTTCCAGTACTCCCCCCGTATGAGCCCACTGGTCGTTTCAGTGCCGGAGAAAGCCTCTGGGATTGTGTATTTCATTCGATGCCAACTTCAACACCTGCTATTTTGGAATCATTGCAATTATAATTTTTTGCAAGGGGGGGTGATAAAGCTGTTAGTGACAGCTGTAGCATTTAAAAAGAGGGGCTTGTTTTGTTTTTTTAAATTGCAAAATCAGCTGCAGGTTTATATTTCTTCTTATTTAAAAAAATATATAGTGGTGAAAAGCAAGATCTGCTTTCAAACTTTATAAGAATAGTTGCTTTGTGTTTTATACACCGAACATCAGCAGCAGCGCACAGGTTGCTAGAAGAAGAACTTGCATCGCATGGAAGAAACTAACACACAGGGGTCAGTGCTTTGGAGATGTTAATCGTTTGTTACAAAAGCAAGTTCTGTTTGTCTGTTTTGGTCTTAACTGCAAACAAACCAAGAAAGAAAAGTCTTTCTCTGTGAGCTTCTTTTCTTTTTTTTTAGCTCTGTCTCATTATGTTACTTTAGGTTTAACACTTTTTGGGAAGCCTTTTTTGTTCCTATTGTAGTGTACTTAATTGCTATTACATCCACTCCTGTATTTTGCGTGCTTTGTTGCTGGGAAAGTGAACACCCAGTAAACTGACAGGTTTAGAAAGATCTCCAGTGTGTCTTGGGTCTTCCCTGCGGCCTCCTTCCAAGGAAGATGAGGAGGGGGAAAAATGTCAGTGTCCTCCACCTGTAAAACCACTCCCGTTTTGCAGGTTGTCTCGTTGTTGCCCCTCTTGTGCACCTGTTTTTAATTTCATTAAGACCAAAACAGCTGAAACGGATTAAAAACAGCCTCTGCCACCTAAATGAGCCGATCAAATTCCCAGAAATCTAATTGATTTGTCGCTATACACGGACTAAAAA